ATTACATTGACAACACCGTTGCAGTCAGTTCGGCAATGTTCCACTTGTCACGAGTGCGCAAGGGAAGGAGAGAGGATGAGAAGGGAGGCGAGGGGATGCGAGGGGAAAGGAGGGGAGAGGGAGAGTAAGTCCTGCTGCTACAATCGCACCACTACAAGAAGTAGCGATAAGCGGTTCACATGCTTCATCACTCCTGCGACCATCGACAATCGTCGCAATACACGTCACAATCCTCCCTACACCGCACCTCAAATGTCCCCACACGCAGTTGATGAATAATGAAAGAGAGCGCGTGCCGACGGACAAGTGTTTGTGTCATGGAGAGTGTACAACTCCAACACTCACACACAACGTGATTGTGTCTCAAAGGTGACACAACCAATCGCAACACGTCACCTTCACGACGGTGGTGGTGGTGGCGTCAAGCCAACATCGCCGATGCAGCGTTGATTTGGGTGTGTGTGCCTCTCTACTCTCCTCCCGTCTCAACGCAACTGTGAGCTCCACAGCCACTCAATTCAGCAGGTGGTGGGACGAAACGTCGAGAGGTGGCGATAGGAGACACGGCACTATGGTGTGCATGACAGTAGTGGGCACAGTCGCCACTGGATCACTGTTTGCACGGATCAGCGCTACTGACAAAGCGACCTTTATCAACGCCTTCCCCGGAAAAGTGGATAAATTAGCCAAGGAAACTAGTAAACATCGAATTCAATTTCCTTTTTTTAACATGTCCTGCCTTTGCCCGCCCTTACAATCAAAATCCTTGTCTCATTTTAAACAGTCTTAATAAGCATTACGCCTCAATGACTGCAAGCAGGTTAGACTGCTTTGGAGGTCAGGAGGATGACAAAACTCCTAAGCTCCATCTTTACCGACAACGCTTCCGTCTCCTTCAACCTGATGTTTTCTGGGCTCCTTCACAGGTAGAAGTGCTCAAGGAAAAAAACTACTTCCATTTGCTTTCGTATTGTTCTAAGAATTGCCGTTTGAAACAACAAAGGACTTACACACTGTGTTCTCGGTTCTTCTTTGACTACTGATAGACGACGTGCGTTGAACTGAAGTTAGTAGAAAGTGAATGCATCTGAGAGGGCATTTCACAGATGGATGAGAGAACAAAGAAAATGGAGCCACACTCACAATCCTCCGAAATGTCGTTCTCGCGGGCAATCAAACGAGACGATGGAAGACGTTCTGAAAATGAGAGTAGACTCGAGTAAGTTGCAGCTATAGCACTATGTTACGCCACCGCATTTCAGAGTGGTTCAAAGAAATCAGGTGCAACAGAGGCTGATTTATTCCAGCCCATAGAGCTTTCATTGGAGTCGAGATTTAATGCAAGCGGTGATTGTGGAAGGAGAACAACACGTATAAAGGAAGTGGGAAATGTTCAAAAAGGATAATGGGACAGTTCAACGGACAATTGAATCAAATTGACAATTCCTTGATAGCAAATAACAGAAAAGTCTGTCTAGACTAGTGGAATGCACGCTGACTTACTGGCTGAAGGAAGAGAACGACCTAAGTCAGAGTGAAGGGTATAGAATGTAAATAAACCGGAGCTTGGAGCTGGGACACTTAGGCCGTTCACCCCCAAAACCACACCCATGTAAGTAGTAAGAGTAGAAGGGCCGTCTTTGGATCATCTCGAACACAGAGGCCACAACGAGCAGGAACTTCATTTCGAGAGGTGACTTAGCAGAGCTATGCAAACTTTCGGAATTTGTCTGTTAAATAGACGAAAGGCTTTACTAAAAGGGTACAACCTGAAAATTAGGACCTGTATCCGGAGGTTGTCCTCCTGGTGTATCGAGCCACTGCTCGTGCCTCGCAAAATGAGGATTCCCTTCAGCATCGTTTTACCCAACAATGAAGCGTCGGCGCATAAATTCGTGTACGTCTTGCTGCTAAACAGAGGGTTAATGCGATGTGATAGCAGCTTAAGAAAGCGCAGATCAGGTAGAAGAGGCTTCATAACAGGCAGAGATGAAATAATGTCTTCATGGAAGGAACTCTCACCAGAACTTCTACAATTCCTGTAGCAAAGTTCTCGTATGAATCACCTCGTCTAGAACGTGGAGCTGCATGCCTGGCCAATAACCGTTCGCCACGACAACATACGGCTAGACACAGGCACTCTTCCAGTCGGCTACGGGGAACCGACGACCTTGAAGAAACCCCCTAAGGCTAGCACCACCGACGGTGCCTTGTAAGTCAGAGACAGGATATGAATTCAAACGCGGTAGTCGCTGAGAGGATTAGCTTGTCCGCTTTGCATTAACAGACTCGCCCTTCTGCCCTCTGCAATATCAGTTGTGTTGCTCAGATGGATGTCAAATAAGGCTTATAGAAAAAAAAGACTCCTGATGAGTCAGTCATGAGGAGGGAAGGAAGGTCGAATAGTGGCGATGCAAAAATCACAGCACCTTTCTGCACTTAATCGCTCTCCATTTCACAGCCACGACGGCTGATAACGTCGAGTTATATTCAAGCCAAATCAGGATTTTTGCATTTTGCGCATTCGAGAAGGAGTGGTACGACCATCCAATTGTCAAACCTTTCTCAGGAAAGGATCGTTTCTTGCGCAAACCCAATAGCCTCAATTCAACCTAAATGACCTTGGCGTAAATGAGGATTAACGCACGAATGTTATGCGGATGACTACTCACTTCGCCTGATGGTGCGTCGATGAATGATGGTTTCACTGTTGTCATCCTCTTTTTTTACTTCCTCCGTGGTGATTACCTCCTGATCGCCATTTCGCTGCACTCGAATGGGTTTCCGCGTAATTTTTACGCTCTGCGAACCTGGACTGGTCGGTGCTGGAACCGGTGGGGGCAGTGGCGAGTAGCCATTGATTTGGGACAGTGGAGAACTGAGGAGACGATGTTGATGGTGGTCTGAGAGGTGACTGGAGAGCTGTGAATGATGATGACTCGAGCCCGTTTCCCGTACACTTTCCTCCCTTCGTGACCACTCCATCTGATCGTCTTCGCCGCCCTGCACATGTATTGAAGTCTCACGAATGGAGCTTCGAGGCATCGACGTGTTGGTGGTAGGAGATGCTGGATGGTTGAAACGGGTGGAGGATGTGTAGGAATCAGTGGCACCGTCTAAAGTGCAAAAGAACCGAAGTTCAGCAATGCACGGTTGCCTTCTAAACTGCTATCAGCGAAGTCAGGTTGACATCCACCTTAAAAAAAGGTTGTCAAAACGATTATCTCATTTTCATTTAATTTATTTAATCTAAGACTGGACGCTGGAAACCTTTCACGACTAATTCATCACTCCTGAGTTCTAACGAATGGAACGGCACCACTATTGCACTAGCAGGAGCGACGGGAGAGGAAGACTGGGTCCAGAGACATGGGCGAAGACTAAATGCTCTCCTTCGCTGCTTCCACGCTATGGACAGCTAAAGCGGTCAAAAGCTCTCACGCCCCGCATGTACGTGGTCGACCAGAAGAGAGGGGCGAGAGAGAGGAGAATCTCTTCACTGATTTAGACAATGGATGTTGCCTTAAGCACAAATGATTACGACACCTTCTACGAAAACACAGTTGTCTTGGTGTGGAAAGACAACACTCCCCCATGCAGTAAACATTTTTTGCGTTGGGTAGCAGTTGCACTGACATCAGACAGAAGTCTGGTACATATTTATTTATCGCATTTATTATTTGCCTATTCTGACGGCTAAATGATGAAATTTCAGCCTTCCTTTATCGGCAGACCCTTTTCCTCCATCCCTTGGCCAAACAGCTCGAGATCAGACATCAAAAGCCATCCCAGCGCTGAAAGAAGGCTAAATGTTGGAAAGTCTTTTTTTGCGCAGCAGCAGAGTTCGTGTCTTTTTTGAGTTCGTTTCGGTCTTCTTTCAGACCACACTTTAACATCAGGGTTGGTGATTGAAAAGGATACAATTCTCATCCCCATTCACGCCGCAAAATGGTAAAAGGATCTTCAAAGTGGTAGAAAAACATACATCCTTCCCATTTTCCGCCTCAGTGGTGTCGCATCACATTTGTGCACCTCTCAACCCGACTTCAATCGGGCTACAGGGATTTTGGCTTAAAAACAACCACAATTTGGTCTAAAGAGGACATTAACCTCAGGCATGGAGACACTAGCCTACGAAGGATAAACAAAAAGGAACGAAGGTGGTGTAGTAAAGGTCGGGGGACGTCACGGCCGACTTGTGACCCATGCTAACTCACGTTCAGGCGCTCCTGTCTCGTCTACCAGACGCCATGATTCGATGTGACAGCTGCACACCAAAGCCTTCACCGGCAAATTCGCCTTACAGAGGGGAGTAAAGTGATGAGGCAGAATTCAATCGTCCTCTCAATCCTTTCCCCTCCTCCTCCTCCTCCTCCTCCTCATCCGTCTAACTTCAACCATAATGGAGGAATCCGCACTGACAGAGAAACAGATAAGTCGAAATAGAGTCAGAACTTATTTCACTTCTATCGAGCTTAACATTTGTATTAATGGTGTGTATACAAATGCTGACATTTCAGTCCACTGTGTGTCCCGACCTTTGCAGCCATCAGAAAAAGGCTATTTTTAGAGTGCAGATCTTAAGCTAGAGGGCATTTCCCATTTTTTCCTCCTCCTCCTTCCCCCACCCTCCACATTTTCGCCTCCATAAGGAACACTTTTACCTTTCCACCCATCAAAACTGTTTTTTTTTAATTGAGAATGGTAAGGCAGAGGTACGGTAAAAGTCAAGCCTGAGTCAGCCACCATCAACAGTCATACCTGGAGGCAAGATGGTGGACTTTCCAAGAAAAATAGGTTTGTAAATGAATACACTCCAAAAACCAAGCCAAATGCCTCGTTATGAGAATTGAAAACGTGATAGTATAATGCCAAGCTGCTCATTAGATCTTGTCTTCGTGCCTGTCAATGGAGGGTTAGCCAGGAGGATTGTTCTAGCAGTACTACCTTCTGTGTTTAGCCACCAAATGGAAAAACGCATTCCCTCCCAAAGCCTACGCCGCTTACACAACGCTCTAGGTGGGAAATGAACTGCACCAGGCGTGAGACGGAGGATGGCTCCGTTTTGACAACGCGCCTCTGCCTCTACACCTCCTCCGTAGCCTTATTGACAGCTGTCTCGGAGGTAGTTGAGCGGAGAAGTGATTCGCTTTTGCTAATGCAATCACCCAAAACGGAGAAGTGACGCCGAAATGTGCTGCTACCACAAAAATCGCCAAGGCAGTAGTTGGGGCAAAGAGGCGATTGTAGACACGTAAAAGCTGTTACCATTGTGATAGACTATAAAAATTCTCAACCCTACAAATGTGATAGCCAAGGCTACGATCAAAGAAGAAGGAGAGAATGAAGGCTTTGCAAATCGTATGAAGCGGTGATGAAATTGATAGCAAGACATTTGATGAGGCTTTCCAACATATTGTGGAAGGAAAACAATGAAATAGACAGCGACAGGAGAACCCCAAATCCCACTATCATGATAGAACAGACGCCTTTCCAACCATTCCAAAATTCACACCAAAAACATTTGTTTGAATGGAATAAAAGTGGCTCATTTGTGCGGAACGACTATAAAACGCAGCCGACATGCCACGATGATTCGATTCTAAGGGGAAGTGACAAGTGTGAGGCGATAAAGAGCTAACACATTTGAGGAGAAAGAAAAGTGTACTCGCCCCGAAAATGCCAAATAAAAGTGAACTGTGTGAGGGGTGAAATAACACCCCGTGGTTAGTGTATCCTTCGGTGAAAAATGATTCGCATCTTGAGCCATGGTTGCAAAAAGGCACTGGCACCACTCGATCCAAATCATCCGAAACTGCGAAATACGACCTCAAATGCGGTGATGAAGGCAGCTCGAAGTTACTAAAAGTCCAGCCGTGTGTGATAGAGAGGTGGATTTAGTGTGCAGCCTATTCCACACATGGCAAGAGGTGAATGTAAGGTGGAGTAGACGCTTGAGGCCGATTTGGGTGGTGTGTGTGGGTGTGTGTGTGTGTGTGGACGGTATTTTGCATAAACCTACCCCAGAAATTGGGTTCAAACAACTAGGCGAGGTTCTCACGAGGCAGATAAACCCAGAAAAGGCAAAAATGCACATACACATATACACACATAGGCACTTTATGCAATGAGGGTGAGTAAGGCCCATTTAATTAAGCATTACTGAGTCAACATTACCGTGATAGCTCTTCAAGGCAAGGAAATAAACAAATGCCTTTTGTTGGCTAAGGAGAGAAACGGTGAATAATTCCACTAGCATTGCTATTTGTTGTTTTCATGAATTGACGCGAGCGTAAATGAGCCCTCGTAAGACAGGCAATAAATAACACAAGTGAGTGCTACACCTCAGAGAGTAATTGGCACCAGAAGGGCGCACAAATACACACTCAATTACTTTGTTAAGGTTATGAATAAAGTCTTTAAAATTACAAAAAAAAAGTACAAGTAGTAGACCCACTCGAAAAAGAAAAATTCCTTGGTGATGTAGCTCCTCCAGTGCTGGAGACGTAGTTCTCGGTGGAGGCTTGCGGATCCTGAGGAAATCCGCCTCGAGACATCTTGTGCTGATACTCGCTGGAATATCCTGAGACGTACCGATTGATAGGTATCACCGTCTCCTCAGGACGATAAATTCGACTCGAAGGGGGTGTTCGAACTTCTCCCACGTGCTCTCGCACTCGTTCAGGGGGAGAAATGAAATTTGGCGCGGGATAGAGGATCACGTTATCGGGATCGTGGACGCCCAAGTTGGTACCAGTGACCTCCATATCTCAACGTGTTTGACGCCAGTGAATTTGTTGGTTTTGACTGTCTGGCTATCAACCTTCTTGATTGCCTTATTTCGTTCTCTGACTGATTCCCTCCTGTTTTCAGCGTCGTCGTCGTTGTCGTCGTCGTATGCTGGGTCTGCTTACCTGAGCTCTGACACACTGAAGACGGCTTGCACGCACGCAATGCAAATGTGCGTGGGCAGACGTGCGTGTGTGCATGTGTGTGCGTGAGTGTGAGTGACTGAGATGGTGTGTGTGCGTGTGCATTCGATAGAGGAGGGCATGTGAACAGAACTAATGCACATGCGCAAAGTGGCGATCGATAATTGCGCGTGCCTCCTATCGCGGTGCGCGCGTGCAACCACCTATAAAAGCTCCGTTCATGCGCTAACCTCATGCATGCAGCGATCACTTCAAACTTGCCTTCGACTCTGCTTTAGGGGCGGCAGTGAATGCAGGGGAGAAGGAGAGAGGAAAAACTATCATCAATATGTAATCCATCTGTACACAGCGTCCTGCTTTCACACCATCCAAATAAATGAGATCAAAAGACGCAAATTCCCAGTAATTTTCGTAGGTGCAATCTTCATGTGTGTACGTGTGTGCACTTTATGGTGCGATCCACTTTCAAGTATGCCAATCGTGAATACCCTTTGAATTGCCATTTCATAAAAGGCAATCAACGAGAAAAATGTAGAAACCAGGTGCCGAATAGTGACCTTGACCTCAGATCACCTTTGCCATAAATCAGCTGACAAGGTGATGACTTTCAATCGAGCCTATGTTTACGCGGAAGGACTGATCGCATTACATTATGTTTGTGACAATAGAGGTGTAGCACTTGCGCATTGTTTAAATGTGCCTTGTAGATCAGAGATGGGATTTTAATTCAAACGGGGTGCTCGCAGAGGGGATACACTCGACTTGTCCACCTACGTAGAGCCCCCCTTCTTTACTGGCCATGGAGAAAGGCATTAAAGGGAGTCGAACGATAGCGATGCAAAGCAACACTGGCGGCAGCTCCGGCGGACCTCAAACTACAAAGCGGAGGAGAAGAG